TTTTTTTTCAGTTTCCCATTTAATGTCCTACTGAAATCTTATTCAGCATCTTACTTCATTGCTGAAAAAAATGACATCCCTCTCCTAACTCAACAATCACAATTTTTTTTATAAAACACAAGTTTCATGTTTATTCAAAGAAAAAATTTTGGAAACATTTAGCTTTCATATTATTATAAAGCTTTTATAATCTAACACTGAGAAAGATGTTTGAGGGAGGGAGGAGGAGCCAAGCAACCATAAGTCCGGGATTAAAATGACTCTGTGGAGAACAATGAAGTTGGTAGGATAAATTCCCCAGAGACTGAAGTCTACTAATGGCAATACTTAGAAAAAATTTTTAGAAAACTGAAATTTAAAACCAAGAAAACAGGAGCGGGAAATTGATAATGATAAAAGGAGAGGTGAGATTTAAAGTAACTTGATTTAACCACTACAAAGAAGAGATATAAAGTGAATCTAAGTGAAGCAAAGTAGGTTAAAGAAGTTTCAGAATTTTGAGAATGAATACATATTATTTATTCCTGTTGTAGAAAACAGAAATCTCCTATGTGGTTTCCAAATTAAAAGTTTATATGTAGCTTTATATTGTAGGAATTATTAAGAAATTATTTTAGGCAGATAGAGAGGAAAAGGGTCCTTAAGTTTTCATTTTTTAAAGCATCTCCAGAAAAGTTTCTCCCCTGGCTCTTAGAGACAGGCCGGCACCCTTTGACATGCAAATACAGGCCACTAGAAACTGGATCTACCCAAATCTGGCAATACCCGCACTCTTCTTCTTGCCGTTGCCCCACATGTTCCTGGCGACATGGCCGCCCCACATATCCCCACCTGTGTAGAACATCACGGCGCCCTGTATTTGCATATTAACAGGCTAGGGTGGGAGGGCCCGTTTTTTTTTTTTTTTTTGCAGGCTATGCGAATGACATGCCTGGTCAAACCAATCCCCTGAGCCCTATGCAAATCAAACACTGACTCCTCCAGCCTCTTCATATACCTGACTGGTATCCATGGCAGGTGGGGTTCCCTCTCTTAGCTTTGAAGTCGCCTCCCTCTGTCTCTGCACAGGAGAGTTTCTTCTTTCTTCCCCTTTCTTTCTTGACTATTAAACGCCCTGCTCCTTAAAACTGCTCCACATGTGTCCATGTCGTTTTTTTTCTAATTCGACCCAAGAGGAAGAACCTGGGGTTCTCCACCCATCGGAGCCATATCAATATTTTGGTTAGCAGTCCCAATAGGAAAAGAAACTGAAAGATACTTACTATAGTAACCATATAATACAGTGTCCTCAATCTGTCTGCTGACATTAGCATTAGCCCAGTCCTAGGATAAAAGGAAACAATAGAAATATTAATGAAACATCCATTTGCCTAACAATTAAGAGTTAGGTTTTAATACAACTGAATATCACTTCCAAAATCTATCCACTCAAATAAAAACAATCTATGCCTTCAATAAGTGAGAGACAGACAACAGACAAATTTCAGTATGTAAATGCTGAGATAAGACAACACAGTTCTGGGAAAACACAAAGACAAAAGGCACCTAACTCAGACTGAAGATCAGGAATGGCTTCTGATCCTGGGAGGATCAGAATGATCTCAGGGAAACAGAGAAAATAGTAGGAAGGAAAGAAGGGAGAAAAGAACGTACACAGAACGTTTGAAAAAGAACTTCAAGAAGCTAAATATAGATTCAACTGAGCTTTTGGAAAGGTAAGAGAAAGCAGATGGAGAGAGGGAAGAGAAGGACATATATGTCAGGGGCTTGTGAGTCATGCTAAGTATTTTGGACTTTGTCCTAAAGGCAATGGAAAATAGTGATGAATTTTAAGGAGAGATTAACAAACCTGATTTGTACTTCAGAAAGAACATATTTGAGCATATTATACATTTTTTTAAAAAACCTACAAGAAAAATCAGTCTAATCTCCTTTGCATTCATCCCACATAAGTGTTGTTCAAATTACTAAACTTAGAAAATATAATTCAAATTAATCTTTTCCAATAGAAAAAAAAAACTATACCCTATAATGTCAGAACTGAGGTACAATGTCAAGTCTTTTGGCCTATATTCTAAATTCTGTGCATGTGAAAAATTAAACCTGGAGAATCTAAAGGACTTATCACTGCTATTAAGTATAAAGTACAATTTAGAATCCAGGTCAATTTTTTATAAACACTTTAAGAGCTCAAGTCAGTGTCAACATTCTACAAGTGCTCTTAAAAAAGGGCATCAATATTTAATTCTCTTAAGATAATTTAGGAGTTTTCTTTTCTTTTCTCCTTTTTTGTCCATAAACACCTCTAGCAATGAGTAGCTACAAATTTCTTGCTGACAAACATCTAAAAGATCAAAAAATGTAGAAAATCCAAACTTACTTCTACAAACAAACCCTTAATAGGCCAAATAGAAAAATGTATGTTAATTATATAAAAAATAAATCATAGGATATAAAAAATTTAATAAATAGAAAGTCACCTGTTCCCACATGTAAAGACTGTAAATACCAACTGCTATCCAAATTAATCTTGAAATTAATATATATCACCAATCGAAATCCCGTTGTGCTAGGAGGTAGAGTGTATTTCGAAAGCCTGTTGTGCTAGGAGGTAGAGTATATTAACATATTCATTCTAAAAATCATCTGAAAAAACAAGCTAGGGCCACAAATACATTTGAAAAAGACCAACAAGGAGGAATTTCCCAATTACTATCCTTTACTAATAAAACGTGAAAACCTACTATTATATAATCTTTCACCTACCTATTGGCAAAATTTAAAACAATAGCATCCAGTAATGTCAAAATGTGGAGGGAAAACCATTTGCTACACATTAAGATAGTCTACCATGTAGACATTCTTTATTGAATCGATCCTAAAAATATTCACACAAATTAGGATGGATATTAGTACATAGATATTTTATTCATTGGACAATACTACTTGTCCAACAAATTACCTCAGGAGCTCTTACAAAGTGATAAGCTAGCCCAAGTGGGCCCTTCCTTTCCCACACAGCAGGAGCTGTACCAAATTCCATTACTCATGGGACTAAGAGACCCAAAGTCTCCAGGTGTTCAGCAATTGGTATGTCCTAGCACTCAGTGAACCACTTGTACCTACTCAGCTCATATTCCTTGGCACCCAAATCCAAGGTGTTTATTCTACCTGCAAGACCATTCTTAAGAGGCCAGGTATGGTGGCTTACATCTGCAATCCCAGCACTCTAGGAGGCTGAGGCAAATGGATTGCTTGAGGTCAGGAGTTTGAGACCAGGCGTGGTAGCACACACCTGTAATTCTAGCTTCTTGGAAGGATGAGGAATGAGAATTGCTTTAACTTGGGAGGCAGAGGTTGCAGTGAGCCAAGATCATGCCACTACACTCCAGCCTGAGCAACAGAGCAAGACTTTGTCTCAAGAAAAAAAAAAAGAGAGAGAGAAAACACTAGGAGGTTATACACCTCTACTAAAGCACCTGCACTTTGGGAGAGTTTCTCTCCGTGCATAAGTAAGTTACAAAAGAACCTGAGCACTTGCTGAGCCTTGTCAGGGTAAATTAGAGCCTGTACCAAGCAACATTTATTGGTTTTTGCCCAAGAGTCCTTTACCCAACAATATTCGGTGTAGGGTCATTTAAAATATTTTTTAAAAGAAAAATGAAACTGGAGACAATCTAAATGCCAGAATAGAAATAGTAAAATTTACTACCATACATGCATAACATAGAATAACATGTTGATATTAAAAACAATGAGACCTATATAAACTAGCATAGACAGATATCCATGAAGCACTTTTGAGTAGGGGGAAACAGAACAAATCACAACCAAAAGTTTTAACACATGTAATATTTGTCTAACAAAAGTAATGAAAGAAATACCCAAACATATTATAGAAAAAATGAAAAGAAAATGTAAGCAGTGCTTACCACACAGAATGGGAAAGCACGGGGGAGAATTCTGTACAATCATTGAAAATTTTTCCATCAATGATTCAAGTATCCAAATGAGTATGTACATAATCAAAGCTTCAATTCCTAAGAGCTGTGCTTCTTTAGTGATTGCTTCTATATCAAAACAGAAGTTTAAAAGTATTTTTGTGGGTTTTGTTTTGTTTTTGAGACAGGGTCTCACTCTGTCACCCAGGTTGCAGTGTAGTGGCATGAGTATGGCTCACTGCAGTCTAGACCTTCCCGGATTCAGGTGATCCTCCCACCTTCAGGTTTCCAAGTAGCTGGGACCATAGGTGCACACCACCATGCCCAGCTAATTTTTGTATTTTTTGTAGAGACTGGGTTTCACCACGTTGCCCAGGCTGGTCTTGAACTCCTGGATTCAAGTGATCTGCCTGCCTCAGCCTCTAGGTTTATAGGTGTGAGCCACCGTGCCTGGCCTAAAAGGATTTTGAAGATGAGCAAATTAAGAACAATGTATCAATGGGCCAGAGAATAATGACAACCATCTTTTTTTACTTATTATATGTTATACAAACTTCCCACCAATTTCCAAGACAGCCCCAGGAGGTAGTAATGTCTCCACTGAGAATCACTTAAAAATTAGTTTGAAATTGGACAAAATCCCAATCTCAAAAAAAATATTAAAAATACAAAGTCTGAAGGTTAACGTGAAGCAAAAGAATCATTGAAATCTAGCATCTTTTACTCTATAAGGATCTTTTGCCTCACCAGTTCTTGTAGCAACAAGAGTATTGCTGTTACTATTTTAAAGCTACAAATATGTGTAAGATATACAATATCACTCAAGTACTATTAGTGTATTTGGCTTTTACATACTCTCTTGCCTCCAAGATACTTGATGTATTGTCAAGAGAGCTTAGTTTGTAAAACTTTCCTTCTAATTTTGGGAACCACTATGACCCTGATATGTTTTATAAACTATTGCCTCTCAAAGTAGAAACTAAAAGGAACTTCAGAGTCATTTAGGACACAAAAGGAATGTGAGACAATCAAGAACTAAATAAAGAACATTAAAGAAGAATATTTCAGAAGACAAGGATATGAATTCCATAGAACAAGAATGTAATTGGTGGCATATGTAAATTCCATTCCCCATTTTTCAAGTTGACTTTTGAAACTTGCTGCATAACCCAAAACTCCAACATGATTCTCCTCACTTTTACCTGGTAACTTCACCATAAAAACAGTGGTTCTCATTCAGGAGCCATTTTGATCCCCATGGGGCATCTGACAATGTCCAGAGACATGGTGCGCAGAGTCAGTATGCTACAGGAATCTAGGAGTTAAGAAGTCAAGGATGCCACTAAACACCTACAATTCACAGGGCAGGCCCCCATAACAAAGAATTACCCAAGGCAAAATGTCCATGATTGAGAAATACTGACTTAGAGGTCTCTAAAATAATATGTAGTCCCAAGACAGTTCATTCAACTTACTATTAAATCTAAAACCTACCTCCATTTGTATCCAAATTCTAGACCTTCCTTACTCTGAAGTACCCATACTCCTATTACACCCAACCCTTTCACTTTGAGAACTCTCGTCCTCTGGAGGAAACTGCACCTGCAATGATACCTTCTCATGCCTCAAAAATTCCTCTCACTCTACTGAATTCTAAAGTATACAAATTCTAGTAACTACTAAACACAAAGAGATACACAACCACCACAAATAAAAACACCTCTACTAACTCCTCTTCTCACTTTCCTAGAGAACAAAAACTTCCTGAAAAGTTGTCAGCATTCCTTATCACTTCTTCCTTACTTCTCTGTTCATATCTAACCCACTCAACCTAACCACCCTACTGTTCTGCTGAAATTATTCTTCATGGTCACCACTGATCAAAGCCACCAATCACTTCTCTACCCAACTCACTTCACCTCTCAACACCACTGGAAAAAGCTATCATTCTTTCTTTCCGAAACACATTATTCTGATTTCCATAAAGCCTCCCTCTTCTGTTTTCTTATCTCTCACGTTGCAGATTCTCCCCTTCAGCTGACCTTCTACACAACAGAGAACTCCAGTCCTCGGTCCAATGTCAAGGCTTCTCTGACTACTCAGTCTTCCCAGCTCCTAGTCAGTCCATAACTGTAGATTTCATCCATATGTTGCTTCCCAGATACTTCTCTCCAGCACTAAGCTCTTCACAGAGCTTCAACTCCCTATGTAACACCTCCACCTGGATAGATAGTACAGTACACACTTTGAAGGTAGCCTGTCCAAACTATAACTCTTTTCTCTACACCCCCTCACTTGCCCGTGCACACATGCATATGCCCTCTTATTCCTCCAGGTTTCCCTATTTCTCTAAGGTATACAAAAACCTAGGCATCGGTGCTCCAATTTTCTTTTTCCTTCACCTGTCCCCCTATATCTAATCTATAAGCAAATCCCAGCAGCTCTACCTCTAAAATACATGCCAATTTTAATCATTTTTCTCCACTAGCACCACTCTAGCCCAAGTCACCTTTATCTTTTACCTTCATTAACTTCATATTGCAGTTAGGAGAAAATCTAAACTTATTAATATGACTTAGAAGTCATAAACAAGCTGGCTCCTGCCTTATTCTGGATCTCAGCTTTTACCAAAGCAAAACCCTCAACAACACACATCAGCCAAATAAGCCAAGTTCATCCCGGCCTAAAGACCTCTATATTTGCTGCTGCTTTTCCCTGAAGGCTCTCTCCCTCTGGCTCTTTACTAGATTGGCTCCTCATCCAGGTATCATGGCAAGAAACCTCAGCAGCTTTGCCCCTCTCCAAAACACTCATAACCTGACTAGACTCTCATATCAATCTGTTATATTTCCTCATAGAATTTATCACTATAAAGTGACCTTATTTTATTTGTTGACTATTGATCTAGCATTGCAGATTAAGCTCCATAAGAAAAACAACCTCATTTGCCTTAACAATTAATCTCCAGTACCTACAATTGTCAGGCACATACTACATACTCAGTATTAAGTAAAAAAACATAATTAAGGTTCAATAAAAAGCACAAAGTTCTAAGATACAATTCCCACCAGCTGAAATTAGGAATGAGGGAGCAGTAGAGTTTAGCTCAGACATCTAGTAACAGGCCATAAAGATATTCATAATTAGGGAACAGGAGTAAGATGTGAACAAGCACCAAAACATTAAACGTTTTCATGACATACCTTAATATTAACTAAATTTTTTATTTTTACATGTTGTATAAAAGAAAGAATATTTATTCATATTAGTGTCAATTTCTTTTTTTTTTTCCATTGGATCAGTATATTTCATGCATATCCCCATCCAATGTTACTGGCCAACTATCAAAGACTGTTAAAGAGAGCACTTCCAGCTGTACTCTAAAAGGTTCTTTTTTGTTATCTAAAAAGTTAATTATTTTAGAAAAAAGCTAGAAACAAATTATCTAGCTAAAATTATTAATAATGCCATATGTTGAAAGAAAGGTCAACAGAAACAACTCAGGCATTATAACGTACCCCTGCCATAAGAAGGCAGAGAAAATTATAGGAGGGTAACAAAAACAAAAATAAAGAAACTAGCAATGACTGCCTGCTCACAGAAAAGTCTGGGCACCTTCTGTTTTTAAGAAAAATGTTAGCAATCATTGATATGTGGAGTTTCAAATCATTATACTTTGCAAGCCAAGTCCATAATTAGAGAGAGGCTTCAAAATATTTGAGGTGAAAGCAGAGAAGGTTAGAAAATGCATATATTCATTTAGGAATTTCAAATGCACATTGTAAATATTAGTATACGTTAGCATTCATCATGGAAAACAATGTCAACTTGTACTTTTATCTTTACAAATAAAGTTGGAATAGACTAAAACCACGTTGGCATCCTTTTTACTCTGACTACATTTATAATCGTGGCATGAAGTTTGAAGGATTAATTCTTAAACACTTAAACTTATCTTTCACTAGGCACCTGAATTCAGCAATAACTTTGGGAAAAAAACTATTGTCTAGAGTTTGGAAAATGTTTTCAAAATTTTTTTCAGTTCTACTCTTTGAGAATCAGCAAATAGTCCAGTTTCAAATAAAAACTCATGAACTGCACTAATCCTCAACAAGCCCCCCAAAATGAGAAGGGAAAATACAGACACACAGAATGTTTCAAGGTATCAACAAAATCACCAAGAAAAAACTGATACATTATCTAAGCTAAAAACAAACAGAACTAGAGACAACTTAGTAATGAAAAGTAGGAAAGGCCAGGCACAGAGGCTCACAGGGGCTCCCAGCACCTTGGGAGGCCAAAGCGGGTGGATCACCTGAGGTCAGGAGTTCGAGACCAGCCTGGCTAACATGGTGAAACCACATCTCTACTAAAAACACAAAAAATTGGCCGGGCATGGTGGTGTGCATCTGTAATCCCAGATACTCAGGAGGCTGAGGCAGGAGAATTGCTTGAACCCGGGAGGCAGAGTTGCAGTGGGCCAAGATCGTACCATCACACTCTAAACTTGTCAACAAGAGTGAAACTCTGTCTCAAAAAAAGAAAAGGAGAAAAAAAAGAGAACCAACAATTGATGAATAACTAATATCCTAATAATGAAACAAAGTTTTAAAAAGTAGAGGGAAAAACTAACAGATTTTTTTCTCCTTCTAAATATTGGTGTAACATTTAGATTTAACAAATATAAAGTAAGTGTGTTAACCACAGTCATATTTTTTATTTTAGGGCACATGTATTAAAACAAGCACCCTAAATTTTTATAGTTAATATTTTTGCTTCTTTAGTGAATGCATTCTTAAAATCTTGCTCAAACAAGTATAATGCAATCTCATAGATTTAAATATCAAAAACAAAGAAACAAAACAAACCTATTTCCCAGGAAGTGACCACTAATTTAAGCATGGGCCCAAAACAATACTTAATCTAATAGAAAGTTCATAATTTCATGAAAATACTTTAGAAATTTAAAGATGAAATGTTTTCCTACAAAATCTAAATAAATCAAACATCCTCAATTCTAAACTAAAAAAATATCCAATTCAAACAATAATTATACCAGGGATAATTATATTACCTCCAGACATTATAATACATGCATATACATATATATCATTATCTATTTAAAAGTAACAGCTTTTAAAGAGAAAAATATCCTAGAAATCTATAATTACGTACTGTACATGGGGAATTACACTACACTATTTTAAAATAAAAAGAATATCCAGAAATTCTGAAAATGTCAAAATCTTTTATCTAAGAAACACAGCTATATACAGAGTCACAAGAAATTAAACATTTTTATAGAATGTAATTCTAAAATGACACTTATTTCTCAGAGAAAATGACCTCATAATGTTACAATCAACCATTTAATTATCTATGTCTAACATTATTAAAAGTGCATTCTTCTTGCCCAATAATAAAAAGCAGAGAAAACCCAACGATACCAGTAAAATTAGTCATCTTCTCTAGAAATGTTTCAACCCAAAATATAAAATGTGAATTAAGTTTATATTTTGAAAAAATGTAGACTCACTGGTAGATACCCCATTTACTGAGCTACCTGAAAGTATCTCTTCCTTGTTTAGAAGCCATCTTCCCAAGAAACCTCATGAACAATGCTCTCTGGAACCAGACTGCGGAGCTTCAAATCCCAACTGCAGCACTTACAGGCTATGTTACTTCACCTCTCTGAATCTTGATTTTTCACCCATGAAAACCATAGATAAAACTACTTATCTCGCAGGATTGTCAGAGAGATCAAGGGAAGCTACTAAATGTAAACCACTTAAAATAGAGTCTGACACACAGCAAATAGTCAATAGATGTTAGTTACTATCTTCATAACATTATAATGTTTGGCACACACTAAGTGCTCAATTAAAAACTGCTAAATAAATGGTGTACAGGAAAAAAATGTGGTTTTCATAGCAATCAGAATATATCTAATTGCCACAGTAATCAGAATAAATTTAAACCTAACTACAAAAATATTTTCAAATTATTTACCCCATTTGGACCAGGCATGGTGGCTCATGCCTGCAATCCCAGCACTTTGGGAGGCTGGGCAGGTGGATCACTTGAGGCCCGGAGTTTAAGACCAGCCTGGCCAACACGGCGAAACCCCATCACTACTAAAAATACAAAAAGAACTAGCTGGGCATGGTGGCTGCCCGTCTGTATTCCTAGCTACTTGGAAGGCTGAGGGACGAGACTCGCTTGAACCCAGGAGGCAGAGGTTGCAGTGAGCCGAGATCACGCCACTGTACTCCAGCCTGGGCAACAGAGTGAGCCTCTATCTCAATAAAATAAAAAAATACATAAAGTATAAAATAAAATAAAATAAAAATTATTTACTCAATTTAGCCCAATTCAGGAAGTTATTTTGTAATCATGCATTATTAAGATAACTGAAATACTATTTCATTCAAATATTTAAGTACTAAAGCTAAATACTGGGGCTACAACAAACTATAACGACAGTTTCTGAGTCATAGAAGCTTAAGCTAGTAAGAAACTTAAAAGTAATTTGCATAATTTAAAGGAAACTCAGAAACCTTTAGTCCACACCCTTCAATTTTAAAATGAGGAACCTCAAGTCCAGAAAAGTTAAGTGGTTTGGCTCAAGGTCCGCAGCTAGACAGTTAAGGGTCAAGACTAGAACTCAGGTCTCATAATTGCCAGCCTAATTCACTACACCATACTGACTCAAAGGACTCAATATGAAACAGAGATTAGGATCCCGATCTGCCACTAACAAAAGCCCTTCTAAATTATGTACTTATTGCATTAATGCAAATCAAATAAGCTTCAAGGGAGTTATGAGCAGCAAAAAATATATAACCTATTATGATTACTTGAAGCATTTGCAAGGTTGCTGAATTAATAGTTTTTATGTCAGTTGAAAGTCTACTTCTAATCTATCAGGTTAGATGTCACATTCTCAGCCTCTATGTTGTATTTCCATTCTCATTCATTCCCAGATACAAAAATAAAACATAATATATATCGGACTGCTCACTGTGCCAGAAATTTGAAAGGAAAAAAAAAATCTGCAAAGTAAGATTATATTTACCTTAAATGTACCATTTTGATTTTTCATGTAAGAAACCAAAAATATATCCACTGGTAGAAGTGCTGATGTGATAAGTGCAATTGCTAGAGAAAAAATTGCTGTTATGGTGGAGACAACTTCACTTTCCCGCCGACTTTGGTATTTACGAACATATATCCAGCAGAATGCCAAAATAGCCTGAAATAGAACAAAAAGAGATGTTTGTTACTACCCAATATATTTTCTCTGACTTTTGCACATGTTTGAAAGTTTTTAGCAGGAAATCTTATGTGAAGTAAAGGTTATTTTAGTTGTGTAAGGTAAGCCTACCATCCTTAAAAACTTGTCCAAGATGTATAATTTTCAAAGCCTATTTCATGAATGCAGTACATCACGTAGGCATACACACACAATACTATTAATAACAGTGCTCAGTTACATATTTCCTCACCCAACACAGTGCAAACATTAATGGTTTCACACATCACAGTTTTAACTAGCTTTGAATATTTTTTCCCTGTAGATTTTTCCAACCTAAAGGAGATATAAGTAGAAGCTGTTCTATTTTAGGCTTATTACTGAAGCATTACAGAATATAACTTGGATGAAAATTAACTTCTGACCTGTTCTGACAGTTCAAGAATAGCATTGAGCTAAAGATTAACTGCCAGTAATCGCCATGCAATTATCATATTATAATTTAAATTTTAAAGAGCATTGAACAAAGAAAAGTCAATGCTGAAAATGGATACATGTGCACAGCAAGGAGCTTTCCAGTGAAAAAAGTTCACTCAGAGATAGAGGTTGACATCTCTAGTTAGCCAGGTACTCTTAACAGTTACCAACACCATTCTAGGGACTAACACAGTGCATAGGACTTTAATGATTCTCTAACTTTAGGAGGCATCGGAATTACCTGGAGGAACTGTTAAAGCATGGATTGCTAGGCCCCATCCTCCGAGTTTCAGATTCAAGAAGTCCGGAGTGGAGCCAGAAAATCTGCATTTGTAACAGCTTCCCCAGGTGAGGCTGCTGCTGGTCCGGAGCTATATTTTGAGAACTTCTACTCTACTCAATTACAGGCAATTGCAGACAGAGACTATGTTATTTCAGCCTTGACTGTGAGTCAGAATCACCTGGGTAACTTTTAAGTACCCTTATACCTTCCCTACATTCCCCAATCAATTCTATCAATGGAGCATAAGCCTCCTCCAAGCATCAGTACTTTAAATGCCTGAGGATTTCAATCTGAGCCAAACTTAAGAACCATTGTTCTAAATAAGAGCTCTGGTAGTTTTAAAAGCCTTGTTTTTTTCTTTTCACTTTTTCAACAGATTCATTGGTTACTTTCTTTCTGAGCATCCTGCAGTTCCAGGGCCTAAATGAAACTAATAAAACCACCAAACTGGTTTTGCAGCTTCCAAATTCTTCTACCACAAGCAAGATACAAGAACAATTCAATTCCATCATCTCAGAAAATTCCTTTGACCCTTTGTAGGAACTCCTAAAAAATTCCACAGAGCAGTTTTCATGACTAGGGGCTAAGGGTTAATAAGACCCTGAAAAACCAGGGTGTGGACCAAGCTGGTTAAGACCCACTGGACCCAACATGGCAATGGATTTGACCTAGGTTTCACCTAGGACCTCATTATATGCTCATTAACATGCTCAATCACACACCTACCAGCACCATGGCAGTTCCGAGACCATTCATATTTGATGCAAAAATGGGTGGCACCATAATTTCAAGAAGTCTCTACCTTTTTCCCAGGAATTTTCATGAATATATCCCTTGGATAAAGAAACTCATAAATGTAGAAACTCCAAACCTCATTGAGCGTCTCTCCCTTAAGAATGCCCACAAGAGTGTGTACTTTCCCTTTAATAAATCTCCATACTTGCACTATTTTCTGACTTGCCCTTTAATGTGTTCTCATGACAGTGTCAAGCACCTGAAAACCAGCTGGGGTTGAGATCCCACCAGTGTTTGGGGATCTCCCTCAGCCCACCGGTATCACCCTGACAACCACTATCTGTTTTCTGTCCCTTTCTAGAATATCATAATGCCTTCACATACTATGTTGTCTTTTCAGTCTGGCTTGTGTCATTTGGCACAGAGCATTTAAAACCCATCCAAGTTGCAGCATGTCATTCCTTCATACTGCTGGTCTTTCAGCTGGTGACAGAACAGCAAGAAAAAATTGAGAAGGGAGTTAAGACTTTGGAACAAACAAACAAAAAGGATCTAGGCTCAAATTCTTGATTTTGGGAAATTTATTTTTCATAAAAATGTTCCTTTATATTAAGATTTGAATGAGCTTGTTTTTAAAGGAATTCACAAATATTTTTAACATTCCCCAAATTTATTTTGAAGTCTTTAAAAGCTGAGCCTCATCTTTCTATCCTTAGCAGTATTTGACACAAAATGTTCCAATAAATTTTTTATTGGATTTCAAGAATGAAAGAAAACCTGAATTTTGTAGGTATTACTACAAACAAAGAATTTTGCCAATATCAGGCAGACAAGCTGCGAAAGGGCAACCAGGCAGAAGAGTTAAGCCAGAGATTCCCAAATTTTTTGGTCTCAGAATCCCTTTATAATGGTTTTAAAACTGATAACCTTAAAGAGCTTTTTGTTCATGTTATCAATTATTACTACGATATAAAATAAAACCAAGTATCCTCATCAATAGGAATAGTTCTTTCATAACAAGCTTTAAAGATTAAATGAGATATAAAGGGTTTACCATAATGGCTGGCCATAGTAACTACTTAACAAATAGTAGTTATTAGAGCATTTGATAAAAGAAACAAATATATAATTCTGTTAACAATTATAAAAGTCCCCCCAGCTTCTCCCAAAAGATTCAAAATAAACTGGTCTGAACAGAGATTTTTAAAACTCCCCAGGTGGTTCTGATGAAAGGTCAAGGTTGCGAACCACTGGGGCAGAAGAAGGAATGAGAAGAGATGAATCTTTATTAAACTAATGAGAATACATGATATACCGTCTGGGATCTTATTAAACTGCAGATTTTGATTCAGTAGGACTGGGGTCACATAGTTGGTATTTCTAACAAGTTCCCAGATGATGCCCACACTTTAAGGAACAAGAATAAATTTGCTTTACAAAAACGGAGAGTCTCCTACTGTAATGGCAAATACAATTTAAAGGTGGTGTGAGCCAAATTACAGAGGACATTGGAGCTAGACAGAACTGTTTAGATTTGATATAGCAAAGACAGACATAGTTAGATTACATGCATGAGGGACCAAATCTAACAATTCTTTATGTGGGAAGAAGCTGAAGTCCATTCTTTTTGCCCAAGATGACAAAAGCAGACAACATTCATGTCCTGATTTTTTTTTTTTTTTTTTTTGAGACAGGGATTCTCTCTGTAGCTCAGGCACTATCAGAGCTTGCTGCAACTGCCTGCGAGAACCACCTCCTGGGCTCAAGCAATCCTCCCACCTCAGCCTTCCAAGTAGATGGAACCTCAGGCATTTGCCACCTGGCCCGGCTAATTTTTTGTATTTTTAGTAGGGATGGGGTTTTGCCATGTTGCCCAAGCTGGTCTCGAACTCCTGAGCTCAAATGATCCACCTGCCTCAGCCTCCCAAAGTGCTGGGATTACAGGCGTGAGCCACCACACCTGGCCCATGTCCTGAATCTTTAGTAGATGACTGGCAGAAGTTCTCCAAGTGTGAAATCCCTAGACCCTGGTAGTCCCCAGAATCCTTTCTGGAGATTCAGAAGTTGAAAACTATTCTCATAATAAATACTAAGATGCTATTTGCCTTTTTCACTGTGCTGGCATTTGCACTCATGGTTCATAGCCACAGTGGGTAAAACTACTGGTGCATTAGCGTGACTCAAGACAGTGGCACCAAACTGCACCAGTAATCATTGTATTCTTCACCACAAGCTCAAAAAGGGACAATTTAAATTAAGACGGTGCCTCCCAAAGCAGTATAAATTCATTTTATTGAAATTCAACCCTTGACTCTTTTTAATACTTTGTGGGGTAAAATATGAAGCATGCACACATAAAGTCCTTCTGTTGCATACCAAGATGTGGTGGCCATCTCCAGGAAAAGTTTAGAGTTAAAAGCTAAAACAACCACTCTTCAAGGAACACCATTTTTACTTGAAAGAACAATCGTCAAACTATGGTTATTCAGACATCGCTTTTTGGCAGATTTTGTCAAATGAACAAAGGGAACCTATCACTTAAAGAAAAACTGACAGTATTTGATACTAATGATAAGAGTCAAACTTTCAAATGAAAACTGGAGTTTGAAAGACTTACATCCACAACTATAAGCTTGACAACTCTTCAATACTTAGAATTTTCAGAGACATTTCTGACAAGATCAGTTGCAATTTAATGAAATGTGATATTTTGATACTGTGTAATGAAATGTATCCATATTTAAAAGATGTGCATAACTCAGTAAACCAATATTTTCTAAGTGGCCATAGCATCATAGTACAAAACCATGCATGGGTAGAAGATCCTTTCAAAGTGCAAGATGGGCTAATGGATTTTAATGTAACAATGAATGAAAAGCTCATTGATAGGGTTTCAGATTCCACCTTGCAACTGACCTTTAAGAATCTTCCACTTGTTGGGCTTTGGTGTAGGATCAAAAAACATCCACAATTATCTGAAAAATGCTCCTCTGTTTCTGACTACCTATCATTGCAGCTGTATTTTCTTCATACATTTCGACCAAAATAACATACCCCAAAAAACTGAATGTAGAAGCCAACATAAGAAACCAGCCTTTCTTCTAATAAACCAGGATTTAAAGAGATTTGCAGAAATGTAAACAAGAGTCCTTCTTCCTAATGCTCTTATCCCCGCCAACATTCAAGTGTCAAACTGCTAATTCCCTTCTGATTTTATTTGTCCTTGCTGTAATATTGCCAACTTAAATGGCTTCCCTTCTTCATCTATCCAAACACTACCACAATTCTCATTTTCTTCCAATATTGTTGTCTATTCTCTTAAGTCCTACTTTATTTAGTCATATTTTGGCTTTTGGTCCATAAAATACATGTTTCAAGAATTTCAGTTTTCCCACCTATCTTCAGGCCCTCTTTAAAGCCGTATCTTGTTTCGTTAACATCCTCTTAAAATTCACACCACTTCCGTACCGTAAATGTTTATTAATTTATAACTGCCAAGATAGTCTCACTTAACTTTCATACATTACATGTTTATTTATTTTCTTCTAAACAAACTAAATCTGATGGACTGGAAAAGCCAAGGGAGCTCTCAGAATACAAGACTGGGAGGCTGCAGAGACCACAGTCAACCTTTAGGGTTTCATTTCCTCCAAGAGAGGACTAACATATTCCAGGGTAAAGGCAGTATTTTTTATCTGTAACAGTGATGACAGTAACAAGAGGATCCTTTTCTTAAATTTTCACACCATTCTTTTCTTTCTTTCTTTTTTTTTTTTTTAGTCTCTACTGCAAAAATTTACTAGAACATACTACATAGGTACCAGACACTGACTGGATCTGACAATTAAAGTAAAACTAAACAAGCCTGATTTCCAGAACTGGAGGTTTTTGTTTTGTTTTGCAATGCAAAAAGGTCAAAATAAATGGGAACAGAAAGTAACTACAGGCTCGGAGGATGAGAAGAGAAGATTTGAGAAGGTAGAGAGGTTATGAAAGGAAATAAATTGAACTCTCAAATAAAATAAAACAAAGGGTTTTAATATGAATAGGGAAGTAATAGCCAGGCCACTTTAAGCCATTTCAATCTACATTTTGCTCACTGAATATGCAGAAATAAGATCACTGGAAAAGAAAGCACCTGAGGGCAGACAGGTAGTAGTATATACTCCGATACTAGTAATAAAGAGGGCTACAGCTACGCCCTCCACAGGTATCTACACCAATCAAAAAAAGATTTCAAGAGAATGTGACACCTGGAAGTCAGAACTAGCAACTCACGTCATCAAGGCAGAATCACACAATGGGTACAGAGGTTGGAGACTCACTAGCCCCAAGGGTAGGGAACATGGGGGAAAAAACATACAGAGAAGGGGACAAGTAAACAACGCCAGCGCCTACTTAACTTGCAAAGATCCAGCGCTGCCGACCCACACTGTGTGCCACTGTTTTACAGAGGACGAAAGGCCACTACATGCTTCTCAACCCCGAGGGTCTCCTCCGCCCGCAAACCCCACCGGCCCCATTGAACAAATCAGGGATGACGGCAAGAACTTCCAAAAAGGACCCTGCAACCCTAGACGTCATCAGTGAAATGAAAGCAAAAGCGACCGAAAATCGGCACCCCCCTGCCCCCGCCGCCCGCCCAAGCCCCCAACACCGAAAAGCCCTCCATAGTCCAGGCTAAAAGAGGGGCGGGGCGAAGAGGGTCTCCGGGGTCCGGAAAGGCCAACTGCAGGGCCGACCCCTCCCTTCCTCCGCCAGTCCAAACATCGGGAAAACTCCAAGCGCCTCCCCTACCAGTAGTAAGAGGCCGAATATACACCAGCCGATCACCAGCTCCGCCGAGGCCGCGCCAGGAGTCGCCATCTTCGCTTCCGGTCCAGACCGACCAGAGCGCCAGGGGTGGGGAAAGGGGAGGGGGAAAGGGGAGAGAGCGCGAGGTACACTGCACCCGCGCACCCTAAAGGTTAAAAGGGCGGAGGAGGAGGAGCAAGTGGTTGCCAAGGAGACTCGACCCACTAGCGTCCCCTGGCGGCGAGCAGGGTGGAGGCGGAGCAGCAAGGACTGCTCAGGGGCGGGGCGCGTCCGGACTCAGTGACGTCACCACGCTGCCCGCGCTGGCTTCCGCGCCCGCTGAGATGTGGGAGGGCTGCAGAGCAGGGTGTTGGCTCATAGCAGGGTAACCTTATTGGGATATTTGACTCAGCCTAAGCTGATAGACTGGAACAGCAAGGAAACTCCACAAAGAATGGACTAGGTGCACCTGGAGATCCAGGTCAATTTTAGAGGTTTATACTTCTTCACTAAAAGGAAGTTTGGCCCTCGTGTACAAGGTGGAATGTGTGTGATTGCAAGAATGGGTGACTCTGAATAAAAGTTGACTAGCTGTCCAAATGACTTTAATTTACTGGCACTGGTGTCAAGCCGGTATAACTGGTTGGCTGGACATGAACTTATCACTTGATGTTTTATCCTTTCTATTCAGATGTATGCGTGCCTGTGAATTTCCATGATAGCTTTGTACATAAAGGTATATGCATCAGCAAACAAAACACACTGCCATAGGCCC